ATAAAAAAAAATCCTCAAGTTCACCAATGCTAAGAAATGCAATTTAAAAGCCACAATGAGAATGCATCACACCTGTTAGAATGGCTACTATCAAAAAGATAGATAATTTCATGAGCATGTGAAGAAAAGAATCTTCATGAACTGTAGGTGGGAGTGTAAATTAGATCACCATTTTGGAAATAAGTGTAAAGTTTTCTCAAAAAGCTAAACATAAATCTACCATAGATCTAACAACTCCACTTCTGAGTATACATTCAAATGAATTGAAATCAGTTTGTCAAAGAGATGTCACCATTCCAATGCTCATTACACCATTATTCTTAACAGGCAACATATATCAATACTACAGAAATGAACAGATAAAACTGATAGAGTTTGGATGTGTCGTCCCACCAAAACTCATGTGGAAATCCCAATATGGCACTGCTGGAAGCTGTATGAGTCATGGGTGAAGATCCCTCATGAATGGATTAATGCTCTCCCTGGGGGAGGAGGGTTAGTGAGTGGGTTCTCACTCTTTTAGTCCCTATGAGAGCTGGTTGTTTAAAAGACCTTGGCACCTCCTCTTGTCTCTTGCTTCCTCTCACCCTGTGATCAGCTTGTATCCACTGGCTGCCTGCCATTTCCACCATGAAAAGAAGCAGCCTAAAGCCCATGCCAGAGGCAGCTGTCCCAAAATCATAAGCCAAATGAACCTCTGTTCTTTATAAATTACCCAGTCTCGGGTATTCTGTTATAGCAACAAAAACGGACTAAGACAAATATAAATGTCATGCATATAAAAAATGGAATTCTACTCAGTCTTAGGAAAAAACAAATTGTCAATTGTGGCAAGATGGCTGAATCTAGAGCACATCGTGTTAAGTAAAATAGCCAGACTCAAAAACAAACAAACAAATACTACATAATTTTAGTTATATGTAGTCTATAAAAAGTCAAACTAAGAGAAATAGAAAATAGAATGGAGATAACCAGAAGCTGAGGGTTAGGTTGGAAGTCAAGGGTAAATTTGGACATGTTATTCAAATGGTACAAAGTTTCAATTTGGCAGGAGGAATAAGTTCTGGTGATGTACTGCAGAGCATGGTGAATCTAGCTAAGAGTAATGCATTGTATATTTCAAAGTTGCAGACAGTGGATTTTAAATGAACTCAACATGAAATGATAAGTATGTGAGGTAATGAATGGTAATCAGTCTGATTTTATCATTTCACAATGTATACATGCGTTGAAACATCACACTGTACCTCATGAACACATACAGTCATAATCTGTCAATTAAAACAAAATAATTTTTTTTTAACAAGCAGGAATTGCCCAAATGAATTTAAAAGAATACAAACAAGAAAAAGTTAAATAGTGTGCATAGGAAAAACACTTTTAATTAAAAAACAGAAATTAGTTGAAAATTAATGAATGGCAAAATATATGCAAGGTAAACAGAACCAAAAGATAGTTACACTGGCTGGCCATACTAATATCAGACAAAAATAAATATTAAAACAAAAATGTTATTGGGGATAAAGAGGGACATTTTATAATGACAAGCATATCAGTCATGAGAACATCGTGATAATTATAGATACACATGCATCAAACACAGAAGCCCAACATCAAATAAAAATAATTGGGGAGGAAATTGAGAGAAGTAGACTATATAAATATTTGGAGATGCCCAGTGCAATTTTCACTAATGGGTAGAACAACTAGGCAAAACAGTGACAATGGTATAGGAGTCCTGGACAACATTATAAAACAACTTGACTACCAATATGTGTATGCACAACACGCCACCCAAAAACAGAACACACATTCTGTTAAAGTACACATGGAAGGACCCCAGAAAACACCATTTGCTAGGCCTTAAAATAGCCACAATAAATGTGAGGATTGAAATCACACAAAGTATGTTCTCTGACCATAATAGGTTTAAGTTGACAATGATTAACTGGAGGATATTTCAGTAGTTCACAATTATGTGGAAATTATAAAGAAGAAACACCAGTCAGTAAGTCATAAAGTCACAAAACAAATTAGAAACATTTTTAGACTGAAAACAAAAACATGAGATACCAAAAGTCAAAAAGGAGTTAGAATAAAAAACAGAAAAAAAGAAAATACAGAGTTAAAAATGATAAAGAAATAATGGTGCTGTAATTTCTGCCCACTGGTACCAGAGATTAGGGGACAGAAGGGTGGCAAGTGGAAGTGACCTCTCGACCCAATGGGCCCTGCAACACCTTGTAGAGCTAGAGCTGGGTCTGAAGCTCACAGACCCCTAAGCTCATTCACAAACCCTTCACAGACAGGTCTACAAGCAAGGTAACTGGCAAAAAGATCCTCGGAGTCTTGGTTGAAGAAAGAGTAGTCTTTATTCAGCACACACACATCTAGGAGCTAGGCAGTACAAAGGAGAAACTCAGAAACTCAACTGCTACCAGCAAAGTCCAAAGAAAAACTGAAACTGAGCAGCTGCCAGTAGAGTAAACATGCTCTATTGTTAGACACTTAGATGCCAGCTCTGCCGCCTGCACTGCTTCACAAACTGAAGAACACACAAAAGCAATTAACTAGAAAGATACATGGGTGCACATGCACACTAACTCCACCCCACACAAAACTTGTTTATGAGAAATGTAGAGGGAGACTGACTAAATTATCCTATTTTCCCCACACACTTGCATCCAGCCACACCACAGGTTCTATGCTGGACCCCATTTTGTTTACTCACACTTACCCCTCCTTGGGGCTTAGGTCTCCTCCCATCACTAAGGCTCCAAGGACAGAGAAGGGGCAACTGCTGACTCCAGGAGGCTTCTTCAGTGAAAACCGACACTGGGGCCATTGGAAGGTCTGCAGATCTATGTGCAGGTAGAACCACGCACAAGGCAATAACCAAGTGGAACTGGGATTTGCTCCATTGCCCCTCCTAGTGGCAAGATACAAACACAGCACTCCATCACTGCAGACATAAATATAAGATAGTCCTGAAGTACAGAGCACACAGTACGCACAATCATATCTATTATGTGGTCCCATTTAAAACTATGAGGAATAGGAATAAAGAATACATCTTACTTCTAGACACTACTTTTCACTAAATAGAATATGATAAATATTACATTTCATAGCAGTTTAAATGATTGCAGATTTAACCTCTTAACAGTTGTGTGTCTGATTTGTATATTCTCATGGAAGTATTTCTATTCAACCTACTGACTGGCTCTGTGTTAGCTTCAAACATTAGAAAAAATTACATTTACTGAAGACAGGGTTTTGTAATAAATGTCATAAAAACTTACAATAGGAGAGTAGGAAAAAAGAAAGAAGCTCAGTAATTTAGAAAAAAAAATGGCATTTAATGTCAAAAATTCTGAGGTAAGACTTCTCATGAAGATGGCAGAATAAATGGACACCAGTGTCACTCTCTCCCAGAAATCAACCAATTTACAAACATTAAAAAGCAACGATAGCCAACCTGGGGCTGCTAGAGCTCAGGGGAAGAGGAGAAGAGACATACAGTGTACACAAAGGCAGGAGAAGCCATGATGACAGAAAGAAAAAATCACTCCCACTATTTCAAGCCCCAGCCACTTTAAGGCTGGACCTGGTAAACACATGGAGCGAGAGGTGGTAAAAGCCACAGCTGTGCCCTTTGTATGAAATTGCTTGGAAGTGGCAGGGGAGAAGAGAGACTTGGCGGCCCTCAGGCCAGCAAGGCCACTAACAGGGGTTCTGTGGACCCAAATAAGAATGAGGACCACAGACAACAGAAAAAAGGAGCCACTGAGAGGTCAGTGAGTTATGACAAGGGACCATTTCTCGGGCTATCCTATGGGAAGTGTTTGGAGTGTGGGTGGTTGAGGAGATGGGCCGACCAGGGGAACATTGGTGCACAGCATAGACAGCTGGTCTGCCCTCCAATCACCACAGGATCACTCAGTTTAGACTGGTCAGGATTATAGAATTGCTGGGGTTGCAGTTTGCTGAAAAGACTCTGGTCCAGACCAGAATTTCCATACAACCTGAGTGTACCAGACCTCATGAGACCTGGAAGTACATACAAGGTCAAGCATTAAAACATGAGCTGCACAAAAAGCCTTCCTCAGGGAATCAGGAGCAAAGCAGAAATTTTGCTAAACCGCAGGGCTCAAGTGCTTGTCACCACAGGAAGTTCCTTCATTTTAGATGTAACCAAAGGACAACAAATTTCTTCTGGGGCAGCATTTAAGTGGTGGGAACAGAATAATCCAACCCAAAAGTGAAAGAAAAAACAAAACACCCACAGATTGAAAACAAAGTTTGATCTTAACTAATAAAGGTCTAACACCACCAAAGAACACCTATAAAACCTAGAAGGACCAGAAGCCCCTGGGTTCCCAAGCCAGGGAGGTGGGAGTGCTGAGGGCCTCAGCCAGGCCCATGAAACATGCACAACCAGCCCAGTGATGACCACTGAGCCTTCACAGAAAGTATGCTGGGCTCCTGAGCCAGGGCATTGAGGGGCCAAGGGCCTTAGCCACATACCCCCAACATCCAAATCCCCCAGAGTGCTGACCACCAAGCCACTGTAGGAAGTGCCCTGGGCTCCCAAGCTGGGGTGGTGGGGGACCAAGTGTCTCAGCCAACCCCCTAACATCCACAATGAGCCCAATGATGACCACTGAGCCATTGCAGGAAGCACCCTGGGCTCCTGAGCCAGGGCTGTGGGGGGGGGAGGGCAAGGTCCTCAGTCATGCTGCCCCCAAATCCACAACCAGCCCATTGATGACCACCAAGCAACTGCTAGTAGTGCCCTGGGATCCCAAGCTGGGATGGAGGGCCGAGTGCACTGGCCACACCCCCTAACATCTGCAACCAGCCCAGTGATGACCATCGAGCCACACAGGAAATGTCCCGGTCTCCCAAGCTAGTTCAATGGGGAGCTGAAGTCATCAGTCTTATCCCCCAAACATCCAAAACAAGCCCACTGACAACAAATGAGCTGCCGAAGGAAGCACCCCAGGCTCCTGAGCTGGGGCAGTTGGGGGCTGAGGGCTTGAGTCACACCCTCCTGACATCTTCATCAAGCTCAGTGATAACCCAGCCACCACTACAAGCACCCAGTTCTCCCCTGCAGAAATGAGGGAGGCCACAGGCTTCAATCATGCTCCACCTCATTCCCCATCTTCCCACGCTGTTTCTCCTCTCCCTTCTCCCCAGATGCTCCACAACATCTTAGAATGAGGCATGGAGCCAGAGGGAACAAAACACAGCCATAACTAGGCAAGCTGCTGCCATTTCCTGGGCCCTGCTATGGTCTGGAGGCACCGAAGTACAGAAAGCTGAACCCAGCCACAAAGAGGCAAGCTGCCACCACTGACCTGGGCCATGCCAGTGTCCTAAGGCATGGAATCAGGGGAAGCTGCATCCAGCCACAACCAGATAAAGAGCATACCAAAAACACCATTTTCATGCAGGTAGCCCACCATAGCCACCACAATTGCCATGGCTACTGCAAAAGCAGCTAGGCTCTATAGCAGCAGTCCCAGCCACTGTGCACATGGTACACCAGAGTCAACTGCATTGAGATAAGGAGAGGCACCAGTACAGACAAAAGAAAAAAAGAGGTCCTCTCCACAAATCACACTCCAGAGTAAAAGAAGCATCTGATTTGTGATAATAGGGGAGGACTTGATCACACCTGTCTCAGTACTGGACAGATCATCTAGGCAACACACCAACAGAGGAATTGTTAATCTATCAGATGGAGAGAACAAATCTATGGGTATCAGAAGGGAGAGTGAAAGGGGAAAGGATGGGGCAAAGGGAAGGGGGAAGGAGAAGGGTAGGGATTGGATAAGGGACATAAAGAATAGTATAATTTAAAACAGTGAATATGCTAATCAGAAAATTCTGAGGTAAGTCACATTATTTATTATCTTAAGTGTAAATATTTCCTATCCATACTTGTGTTGGGTTCTATCAAGATATATTTTTTAACAAATAATACTTAAATACATAAACACAGCATACTCGGAGCTGTTTTGTGCACTGTAGGGTGTAGCAGCATCTCTGGATTCTTCCCACTAGAGATTTTAACATCCAGTTATGACAATAAAAAATGTCTTCAGACATAGCCAAATGTCCCCTGGCAGGCAATATCACCACTCATATTTAACTGT